CCCCCCCCCCCACGCTGAAGGACATGCTGCAGATGGCGGCGGAGATAGCGGACGGCATGGCCTACCTCAACGCCAAGAAGTTCGTGCACCGAGACCTGGCGGCCAGGAACTGCATGGTGGCCGAGGACTTCACCGTCAAGATCGGAGACTTCGGCATGACCCGGGACATCTACGAGACCGACTACTACCGGAAGGGGGGGAAGGGCCTGCTCCCCGTCCGGTGGATGGCCCCGGAGTCCCTGAAGGACGGGGTCTTCACAGCCCACTCAGACTGCTGGTAGGCCCCCCCCCCCCCCCCCCCCTGCTGGCACAGCTGGACAGGCCGACCACATCTGTGTGGGTGTGTGTGTGTGTGTGTGTGCAGGTCTTTTGGGGTGGTGCTGTGGGAAATCAGCACGCTGGCGGAGCAGCCCTACCAGGGCCTGTCCAATGAGCAGGTGCTGAAGTTCGTCATGGACGGAGGATACCTGGACCGGCCGGACAACTGCCCCGAGAGGATGTGAGTCCCAGCGTTACTCCTCTACACTTTACCGGGTTTTTCTGTTTTTATCTATCTATCTATCTATCTATCTATCTATCTATCTATCTATCTATCTATCTATCCATCTATCCATCTATCCATCTATCCATCTATCCATCTATCCATCTATCCATCTATCCATCTATCATACAGGAGACCTGTGGATTATCTGAGGATCTTAGTACTGAATGCCCAATAACAAGGGACATTTACACACTGTTTTTAGGCTGTTTTTAGGGCTGTTTTATGCCTTTTCTGTCTCTTTCTGTTGTTTTTCTACTTTTTTCGGCCGTTTTCTATCTCTTACTGATGTTTTTCTGCTGTTTTCCTGCCTTTTTCTGTCATATTGTATTCTTTGTTATTCTGGATTATTTGAGGATCTTAGTACTGAATGCCCAATAAAAAGGTACATGTCCCTCTGTTTCTCCTTTTTAAATCCCTTCCCTAGGCACAACCTCATGCAGATGAGCTGGCAGTACAATCCCAAGATGCGTCCGACCTTCCGCGAGATCATCGACATGCTGCGGGACGACCTGCACCCCTCCTTCCAGGAGGCGTCCTTCTTCTACAGCGAGGAGAACAAAGTCCCCGAGACGGAGGAGTTCGACCTGGACCTGGACAACATGGAGAGCATCCCCCTAGACCCGTCCTCCTACTCCCAGCGGGAGGAGAGCCTGGGCAGGGACAGCGGGCCCTCGGTGGCCCTGAGGGGGAACTATGAGGAGCATGTCCCCTACACACACATGAACGGGGGGAAGAAGAACGGGAGGATCCTGTCCTTGCCCAGATCCAGCCCTTCCTAACATTTCCTGCTTCCTCTATTGACTTGTTTAAGCCCTCCCTCCCCCCTCTTCCAGTCCATGTTCCACCGATTTCCTCCTCCTCCAAACACAGACACGGATCTCAGGACCTTTTGTTTTCTTTCTCCTGGCTGCCAGACCGAGGCAGGCCAGGGATGCAGAGACCTTTTTCTTAAAGACTTCATGAAACCAGAGGGTGGTTTCCACTATGGCCACGTTTCCTGGAGTCCCTGTGAGGGAAACGGCAGAAAGCAAAGAATTAGAAAAGCAGACTGATGTGAACTGAAGCCCTCCAGCAGCCGGGGGGGGGGGGGGCTGCTCCTGCTCAGCCTCCATACGAGCCCCATCCTCCACATCTCAGTATTTGTCTCCTGCTCCAAATGGAATCTCTTTCCTCAGATCGTGGCCTTTTTCTACGTGGCCTATAAGCAAAGTGTGCTCTGCTCTGTTCAGAGACCAGAACAGACTCCTGATCCTGCTAGAGGAATGTTATCTTTGGGTTTTGGTTCTGCAGAACTACACAGGCTCATCTGCTGTTTGGTGAAAAGTTTTAATTTATTAGCTTTTTCCTTCCTTTTCCTTCTGGTTTTATGGTTGTGTCCTCACTATCTGGTTGAAGGATATTTAAACAGTTAAGAATTGGACAAAAGAGTTCCTCAGACTGACCAATAGCTGCTGCTTTGATATATATTAGTCGGTATAGAAATATATAGAGATAGTATATATAAAATATTGGTGTTTCCCAACCAATATGTTATGATATACTGTATGACATTGATGTTTTTGTAAATAGATCTTTTCATCAGAGGCTTTGCTAGCTTTTTTGTCAGGTTTTCTTATTTTTATAGAAATCCCACTAACCCACCACCAGTGCTCTCAGACCTGCCCCCCCCCGCTCAGAACCCCTCAGACGTGAGACTCTGCTCCTGACTCTGAGCGTGGCTGTTTGGGGGGGGAGCTTTTAAGGTGGCGTGCGGGGGCTCAGGGGTCCCGGCAGACTTTGGGGGGGGGCTGGTGATCCAGGGTTGGGCCTCCAGGCAGAAGCATCCACCTCTGTCCAATCATGACCCAGAAGCTTCAGGCAAACCTTTTTCTGTCTCACACACACACACACACACACACACACACACACCTGGCCCCCGGCTGCCGGGGAACCCTGTGGAAATTTCCACGCTTTTGGCCGAGGGCTGGAGAAAGATGTGGAAAGTTCCCAACGTGTTCAGAGCCAGTAACAGAGATGGAGGGGTGGGGGGGGCAGCGGCCCCTCAGAGAGCTGTGGACTGTGAGCTGAGTTAATCCCTCTATTCTCCTGGCCGTCACATGCAGGTCAGCAGGCCGGACGCAGCAGCTCCTCTCTCAGGTCTCACATTCCAGGCTTTAGCCAGACCCCCCCGGCGGAGCAGGGACCGCTGAGGCTTCTGACGGGGGCCTGGGAGACTAGCTAGCCAATCAGCATTCAGCTCTCAGCCAGCAGCAAAGCGTGGAACCGGGTCCAGACCAGAGAAGCTGCCCCCATGTTCCACTAGTGCCTTCTGTCCGCCTCACGCTGCTGGAGGCCCCCCCGGGCTCCCCCCCCCAGCCTCTGGCCCAGAGCCCAGACC